CCATACTTTAGGATCTACTCCGGTCATCTGTGACACTGGTTGAATTTCTTGATGCTCCATTTGTCATTCTACTGAGTGAAGGCGCTAGCATTAGCACTTAGCAGGGAGTTGCTGATTAGCCGAAATCTTTGGATTTTTGGAAGTTATGAATCTATTTAAAATCTCAGAAGACAAGAATCTCGATTTTTACATAAGTCAATTTTTTCCCACCTCTTTGCACAATTTACCCTCAGGTTGTTGTTTTAGAGCGCCTGTGAGGAAGACTAAAAGACTCCAGGTCTCATTTTTACCAAGTGCAATTAATATGTTAAACAACATGTTTGTTAGGTATTTGTTGATCTTTTTGCACTTGAATTGCACATTTGCACACCTCCACTTTGCACTTTAATAACTTGAATTTCCATTCTGGTATGGGCTCTTGACTGATTTTATTGCGCTGTTTTTATATTTTGCTGTGTTGTCTGAGTTTTATAATTCATTTTGCTCCATGTTTTATGGTGATGTTGTCCTTGTGTTTCTTGTCTTCTTGTGTGCTCCTGTTGCAACGCAAATTTCCCCTTGTGGGACAATAAAAATCTGAATCTGAATTGTGTTTGCTTTGTAACTGATGTGCATTGCAAGGGGACAATATTTCCCCCAAATGAATGCATAAAAGCTCATTTAAATACACACAAACAGCCGTGGAGCACAGAGACGCTGTTTGCTCAGCAGTAGAGTAAGGGGTGAATTTAACCCTTTGTGTGTGTTTTGGTGAATTAAATGGTGTCTGTTTCTCATTTGCACGGGTTTAAAGAGGGGAAAGCCACTCAGTTGTTTTGTGAATCAGGCTCCCGGTGCGAGAATGACTTCATTTTCTCCATCTTGAGCTGCATGTAGCCTGTGCCTTCATTCAGAACAGTGAACAGATGGTTTTAATGGAATATTTTCAATGGTGTCCAAACTCAGGAATCAATTGACACCCAGCAGCCAATCAGAATCGAGTTATCGCCAAGACTGTGGTATAAGAAAGTAGATGAATCATGTGCGTAATCTTTAGGCTTGTCTTCTTGCTTCTTTGCTCATTAAATGACAGAACGGACGGAGTCGTCTGCAGGCTCGAATCTGCTCCTCTGCTCCTCTGTTACAGATTGCATCGCTGGAATACCAAAATGGGACACACATGGTGGTCTCTCCAGTCCACAGATGCAGTTTGACAGACCTGTTGTTGCTTATTAGAGCATCAGGGACACGCACAGGGAGCCACAGAGTGACGTGCAGGGTGACAGAGGAGGGGCTGTGAGTGCACTCGATGGCGAGACATTAGGGTGAATCAGAGTGTAGGAGGCAGGTGACAGGAAGGCGGAGGTAGACTCACCATCTTTCTGTCTTCTCACAATGTAAGAAAAATGTAAATGTCCAGGGTGAGCGCACAGAAATAATCCCACTCAGTTGTTCCCTACTTTGTTCATTAAAACATCCATGAAGAAGTGTGAAATCAAGCCCCTGTGTGAAGACAAAAGAAACTCATTTAATCTATGTTGCACATTATTGGAGCCTCTCCTGTTACAATCATGGTTTCTGTGTGTCTATCAGACGGGCCGATCAGCCCTGATTATGTGTCAGAAACTCATTTTTAACAATGAATGAAAGGAGAGCACAGACGATGGTTTCCAACCCCGACAAAAGAGAATATGGAAAGCAGACTCACCCTCCCTTTGTCCTCTCCATGAGCTGACAGGTGATTTCTATCAGACTCTTTTTTTACCCCGTTGGGTTTCCCCAGAGACATTTTTTTTATTCAGGGAACATGGACGCTGTCTGCTCTAAAGGCCAGAGGAGGAGAGGATGAAGAAGAGATTGGCTCATAAAGATGATAGAAGCTGCACAGAGGGAGCTGCCAGGGAACACATTTTATCCAGATTTTATTCAGAGACATAAAAACGTACCAGGCTTTTTATTCACTTCAGTCAAAGAAGTGACCCTGCCTTTTTTTTTTTGGAACAGTCAAAGTCCACACTGAGCATGCTCAGTGAGATCACAGCGTCAAGTCAAGTGTTGAATCACCTTTCTGACCTTCCAGCCGACGCTGAGGACCACTCACTTCTCCTCGACGGGAAAAACAAGGCGGCCGTAACCACGACAACCCTGATGTTAGCATCCTTACATCCCACCATGCTCCCGTCTCTCACCTGTTAAAAGATTTTTCTGACCACACTCAGATTTAAGGGTCTCGTTCAGACGTCTGAGCACCGTCTGCTGATTGAACCATCTCGACTTTCACTCTGCAGCAGCGATGTAAACTGGAGAGCGATCTGAAGGATGTACAGCGTAACGCGCAGGACAAATACAGGACAAGCATCAGAACACACCAACACTTAGATACTGCAGCTTACATGCAGAGTATTTGTACTGTAGAAGATTGTGTTTTATCTGTTGAGCATCACTTTAGCTGCTCATCAGCCCTGATTTCATCGGTTATCAAACCATCCAGGTGATCAGCCGACCTCAGAGATGAGAGGCTGGTGGTTAAGTGTGCTCCACTTACAGTCCCCTAAAACTCTTACCAATGAAAACAGTATGAAATGAACAGGCATAACTCAGTTTTATGTGCAGTGAAAATACGGCCATCATTGTTCCATAAAATGTATAAAAAAACAAGTCCAGAAAAAAGGAGGTTGGGGTCTCATTTCATTCAGAGGTGACATGACAGTTGTGTTTTTGGGTCATGTTTAAGACTTCCATTGACCTTAAGATCCATTTAGATTTCAGCATGGACACATTTAAAAAACACAAATAACTAAACTCTTTAAGTACACTTCGCACTGTCCTTGTTAATTTAAATGATCAATCAGTGAGATGTGTAGTGAGTGAAATGATAAAGTGATCTTACTATCTGATCAGACATTAAGGAAACATGCTATGCTGAAGTGCTGGCTTCTCTGACAACAATGCAGCAGCCAGTATGTCCTCCTTCTAACTTTAGATTCTGCTCCTGAATGCTCTGGATTTGTTTGGACCAGAGAAGGTAGGCGCTTTTAAGGCGACCCCCCACACGGCCGTTTTGGACGCCCCTCGGTTTGCCAGATATGAAAGCAGTTATCAGGTCAAACCAACAAGAGAAGTGGTTCTGATAGAAGTGATTGTACCCGACCTAAAAAGCCTCTGCATGTTTCTAATAAGCTCCACGAGCAGAAACGTGCTCAAACTAGGATCAATATTGGAGATGCTTTTGAAAAATGGAGAGAGGTTAGAACACAGAAAGGTTTACAGACCCATGCAGAGCTGGATAAACACTGAAGCTTCAGAGTCCACCACATGGTGACCTGTGTGAGCATGGAGGAGGGGGGTGGGGAGAGACAGCTCTCTATAATGTTTTCAATTTGTAATTTTAGGTGTCATCGCTCCATATTGCTCTTTTAATAGCTGCACATTGTGATCTAACAGCAGTCACCAAAATATCACATTTCTGACTTTTAAGAGCTTTTCATGTAAATGTGATGCTCTGATTTATTATTTTCTCATTTTTTATGAAATCATTCTGAAACAATCTGCCTCTAAAATGTCCTTTTAGATGAATAAAGTTCTGCCTTATGGTTTCTGGAACACATCATTACTCCTTATCAAGATGTATGTTTTGAAAAACAGCTTCATCAATTAATTAGTATGTTGTGCAATTTAACTTAAACTGTCTTAACTTGCAAACAATCATTTATTGGGAACTTTTCGGTACAAGACCTTCATCTGGCAAACCTTTATGTTGTGTATTTAAAAGTAAAATTGATGTCTTTAAAAAACACTTTTAGCCTTATCTTTGATAAAAGTCTGTCAGTGTGGAAATATTGAAAAAAAACTGAATACATGTACCGTCTATTTTCATGTATGTATCATCATAATGTTAGTTTAAAACTTTAAATGTCACTCTATTATAGTCTTTTTCTTGCATTTTGAAATAAATAAATGTTGTTGTTGTACCTTTTAGGACCTGTGTGACGTTAGAAAGGTTTTCATGGATTTGGAGCTGTAGATAGAGTCTTGGTATGAATCTGTTTAACCTTCAAATATAATAAAACCGGCCCATTTCTTATTTTTTAAGTACCCAGGAATATATCTGTGGACCAGCAGCACTTAAATGTGACAACTAAAGTGCTCTTGCACAGTGGTTGCTCATTTGAATGTCTTCTACTTTTCTCTCATCGTGCTAAGATCTCCCCCTGGTGGACAGAATGACACATTACACCAGCAGATCTTCATCACGTGTGTCTGTATTGAACTCTGCAGATCCAGTGAAACAAGAACACTTTACACAGACACTTCTTATTAAACAGACAGTGTTGGAAAGGACTACATACAAAATTGTGCAACATTGCATTTCATAAGACACAGAACTAGAGGAGTGATAAAAGTTACTCTATACTCTAATATAGGAATGTGAGATTTATGTCGACATAGGACCAATCCAAATCTCCCACCTGAGTCCTGAACATCAATCTCTCACGGACGCAGCAGACATCAGGTGTGTGGTGCTGTAGTCTTTATTTAAATTAATCTATACTCAACTTAAAGGAAGAATGTGCGACATGTTCCACATAAATATATGTGTGTGAGGGAGAAGCTCGAGTCCCGCTGGCTGTGTTGTTGTCAGAGCCGTGTTTACATGACGGGACGGCCGGCTCCTCCCCTTGTGTATAAAAGCTGTTTTAGTCAAGAACTAGAGAGAAGAAGAAGAACATACTCACTGATTATTTGGATGTTAGTAAGAGTTTTTAGATCACTGTCACTCTGTGTCAATTTATGAGCAATATGAAGCTACAAGCTAACTAAAGAGTGCTAACAATAGCATGCTAACACAACAATGCAGGACACAGGTGACTGCAGGTTGTGCAAAGGACAATTTTGTCCGCCTCTTACGATTAATGGTGCTTAATTATGGTGCGTTCTAATTCATAACTCCTTTGTGTGAACACGAGTGGAGAGGGGTTGGAGGTGTGTCTCTGGAGGAGAGCGGAGGTGTCTCCAAACAGCAGTTTGTTTTGGTTTAATGCTGGTGCTCAAGGGCGACATCTACTGGATCAAAACATCGCACATTCTTCCTTTAATTTTCAAAAGGCAAGAATTATGGATCTCTCCTCAAAAGAGGGCAGTGGAGGAGGAGGTTAGGATTGGGCTGACTAAAGAGCATGCATGCACACATACATAAAAAGGTCTCTCTCTCTTTCTCTTACACACACACACACACACACACACACACATGCTGGAAGTCATCTGAAGGTGTCAGTGGGCGGGGCTTCTCCTCATTTGATAGCCTGCCAGATGATGATGATGATGATGAGGAGCAGCAGCGACAGCACCATGGCCAGTATGCACATCCTCTTACGGGACTTCTTCTGCAAAAAAACACAACGCATCGCAGAAACCTGATTTACTGCAGCGTGTTCGATGTAACAACAGGCAGGAGCAACACACAACTTCATCAACAACATCAACAATCACAGGAAAAAAAACAGCTCTGCATCACGGATTGCACGTTTCTCTTTTAACTAGACTACTTGGTGCAGCTGTCCTTACAGTGAACGCCTTTTGTATTCTTAGCAATTCAAACAACTCAGTCAAGAAAAATTTGTGGGCCCTACAAACCGCATTTATTACCATCATGTCTGCCATTGTCTCCTATGGACGAATAAATCCTCTTCATTTTTCTTTGTTGACTTTCATTGATAAGGCATGCGACGAGCAAGGCAATGAGAGTGAGTGCTGTCAGATGGGGCCCCCTTAAGGAGGTTTCCAACCGTCATTGCTAAATTTGTACATTTTGGGCCATTGCTGTGGTTTAAACGCTTTATATGTGATTTTTTCATCCAGCAGATGTCGCCCTTGAGCACCAGCATGAAACCAAAACAACTCTCGCTGCATTGCTGTGTTAGCATGCTAATGCTAGCGATCTTTATTATGCTGGTATCTTCACACTGCATGTAAATTTACCTGAAATGAGCGTGATCTAGAAACACAGTTAAGCAGTGAGTACAGTATGTTATTCTTCTTTTCTCTAGTCCCTCAATTAAACAACTTCTATACACGAGGGGAGGAGTCAGCCGGCCGTCCCGGCGATGTAAACAAACTGAAGATAGGACTCTGAAAACTCTGAAAACATCACAGACAGTGGGACTCGGGTGTTACACCCATTGTAGACAGTCATGACTCACAGAGTGATTTTCAGAGGATATACTTAATTTCTATTATATTTAAGTGTGAAAAATCACATATAAAGACTTTAAAGTTTGTGAGCCCTCAGGGGCCCCCTACTGGTCTGGGGCCCCAAACCATTGCCCGCCTTGCCTGTTGATAAAGCAGCGCCTCTGCATGTGTGTAACTATGAGTCCTAACATGTGAGGTTTGCATCATTAGTGTCTCACCTGGTAGTAGGAGGCCTTCTGCAGCTGGGCGGCTCCTCGGTCTACATGAGACTCCGCTCCCTCCACGTTCGCCTCGATGCTGTCTGTGAATCCAAACACAAGAGGAGCTTCACATGCACGCTCACATCCAAAGGAATCGATCAAATCTATTCATCTGAGATTCCTGTGTGACCTACCGATGGTCTCTCCCTGATCGTGGATCATCAGCGCCAGGTCCTTGAAGATCTGATTCACGTCCATGATGTCAGCCTGAGGAGAACAGAGTGAACTTAAAAACAGAACTAAATGTGTGTTTTTTTTTACAGTGTGCAGGATAACCTCTGATACCTCCAGCTGTTTGATGTTGGTCTCTCTCTCCTTGATGGTCTCCAGGTCCTCCTCTGTGATTGGGGGCTCCTCTGTCTGAGTCTGGGTCTGACCCCACTCACCTCCTCTGCACAATCACACACAACAACACAACTTCATTTAACTTAGTCTACGAGTCAAAGAAAGCGCCCAAAGGAGGGATGCTAAAGACAACACCCATCCTACAAGCAGCTTGTTCTACATCCAATAACTGCGCACTGTAACATCCAGAACCAAATACCAAACCGCTTGGTGGAAACGGTGCTAAACAAGCAGTATGTTTCTTCTGTCTATCAGTAGGCTTTACATTTACTTTGCCAATATAGTGGTCACCTCCACTGGAAATAAATGTTTGATGTTACAAAAAAGGCTTTTTATCACCTCAAGAACATTGTCACGAGTCCGACAGTTTCTCTCTCAAGCCAATGCAGAGACACTTATTCATGCTTTTATCACCTGTAGAATTGATTACTGTAATGCTCTTCTTTCTGGTCTTCCGAAAAAGAATATTTCGCAGTTACAGCTTCTCCAAAATTCAGCTGCAAGACTGCTGACGAAGACCAGAAAGAGAGCACACATTACACTGCACCCGTTTGTTTTAGAATTGATTTTAGGATTATCTTAATGGCCTTGCGCCCCCCCTATCCAATTTGCTTTTAACTGATGAGCCCACCAGAGCCAGGTTTTCTGGTAGTGGTCTTTTAATTGTTCCAAATGTCCAAACTAAAACCTACGGTGAGGCTTCTTTTTATTACAATGGCCCCATCTGTGGAACAATTTACCAGGAGACCTGAGGGCAGAACACAATGTAAACTTTTTTAAAAGACTTACCTTTTTAGTAGAGCTTTTAACTGAATCTCATTTCATCTACTTTTATTACATTTTGAACTTCCTGTGGTTCCTCATTTAGAATAAATGACAGTGTTTCCTCAGTTCCTGTTCGTATCAAAGTATTTTTACCTTAGTTTTTGGATTGTGGGATAGGGGTGGGGGTGGGAGTCATGTTGTTGCTGTTGATGTAAAGCACTTTGTGATACATTTTTTGTATGAAAAGTGCTATACAAATAAAGTTTGATTGATTGATTGATTGATTGATTGATAAGGAGCAGATTAAAGACCAAGAGGACGCTTACTTTTCAAATGTGACCAGCTGCTCGTTCACGTTTCCTCCATCCCCCTGCAGACGAGAACAAAAAACAATTCAGTCAGCTCACATCACTTCTCCCTTAACATTCACTGTGTTTTTAAATCTTATATCATCAAGCTCTGCTGCTCACTGTGACTCTGGATCCGGCTCGAGCCCGGACCACAGACTCCTTCTCCTTCTCGGCGGCACTCCTCTGAACCAGCTGGAAGTTGTTGAGAGCTGCGGAGAAGTCGTTCATCAAACGCTCCCTCCTCAGCTTCTGCTGCCTCTAAAGGAGAGAGGAGGGGGAAAGAGAACGAAAACATCACCGACAGCCAGACGCACATTTAACTGGATTTTTTTAGCGCTGTGTTGCTCAAAGCAAACAGAACTGTAAGAATCGCGAAATAAAGAGTACGTACTTTACTGTTTGAAAAATAATTTGTGCTTTTATCTGGCGGTCTTTTAAGCTTTTACAGCAGCAGCATGTTTTTTTTTCCAATAAAGTGCCGCCTCGTCGAGTCCTGCTGTGCTGTGATTGGCTAAGGCATTCAAAAGATCAAACACAGAGGATATTCAACCATGGCAACTTTTTTATTATCAAAACTTTTATCTAAAAAAAACCAAAAAAAAAACATCAGTGACTACCAAGCAGCAACCTCTGGGGCTGAGAAGTGCCAAAAGCTCTAGTTCCTTGAGCGTCCACTTGAGGCTGTCACAGAGTGAGTCAAGCCCCATAAAGCCCCCATGTTAAAATGTTTTAGTCTCTCTCAGCTCATTTCTCTAAACATGACAACTCTACAGGCTGTTTAAATTACATTAAGGTGTTAAGTTATGCGTCACTATGGGTGCTGCCTCTTTGATTGACATTCCGGTGGTGGAATGAACTTTCAAACTCCATGTGATCTGCAGAGTCCCTCTGCACCTTTAAGAAAAAGCTAAAGACCCAGCTCTTTATGAATACCTACTAACTTAATGATGATGGTCTCCATATTATTGATGATGATGATGGTAATTACGATGGTTTTTGTTTGATAACGACGACTTATAAGATGGTTTCTATACTGATTAGAGCTCTCAAGAACTGCCCTCAATGTTGTGCTTTGCCTCTGGTCACTTCCTGTCAGCACCTGTGTGTCCAATCAGACTCAAAGCTGATCGTTTGCTCTTACTGACATTGTTCCCTTTTTTCTAGATCCTTGCTTGTGTTGTTCTTACTCTCTGATGTACGTCGCTTTGGATAAAAGCGTCTGCTAAGTGAATTGTAGAACTGTAGAATTGTAGGTGGGAGTTGCTAGCTGTTTGCTAGGTGTCAACTTAGCTAAACTTACTCTCACTGAACTTCACCTCTGGGCCGTGTTTGTGGAGTTGGAGCCTTTTTATTTACATTTAAATATCAGACAAATAATCTGTGGCTTTGTAACCACTCAGTAGAAAGATATATATTCATAGAGGGTGTCTTAGTGTCAACCATGAAGAATAAATATTCTACAAAGCAGTCATAAAAGTTTAAGCAATGCATGAGAAAGGAAATTAGCTTCAGCTTTTCATGAATGTGAATACTACGTACTCATGATGTTAAATGTGAGCTATCAGAGGAATGCAGAGAAAATCATGTTACTGACATGTTTCTGTCATGTGAAGTGCATGTGCACAGGACACCATTTACCATTACTATTAATCTTTGCCTTTGAGCTTCCTCACTTTGATCTGGTTCATGTTTCAGTTACAGAATGATGCATGAAAATCCTTTTTATAGTCTTTATTTTAAACAAATGATTTGCCTTGTTAGTCTATAAAAAAGCAGCAAAGGAGTGGAAAGATGGATTGATAAGGAACTGAGATGTAAACTGACTCAAAACCTCTCTGTGATGTCTTTATTTGTTGAGCTTCTACGATTTCAGTCTGACTGATTTTTCGTACAACTTATTTTCAAGTCGGGCCCAATTTCAGCGCAATAGCCTGGGTGTGTAAAGTACACTAAGGCACGACGTTTGATCACAGCTGCTCGCTAACAGTCGGATGAACTTATGGCATGTTTGAAATTTTGGTCGTACGACTGTACACACTCACACAGTGAGAGCAGAGCCAGATATAAAGACTCCCCCTCTGATCATGAAAGAAACGTTGGCAGGAAATATCTGCAGACCTGCAGCTGATGGGGATATTTGTTTTGATTTAGCTACAAGTTAGCTTGTGTTTATCGGTGATGCAGATCATGTGTTGGTGAGAGTGTTTTTGCCGGTGTGTGTATTTGAGCCGTGCAACTGAGGGTGCGGTCACACTGGCCATCCATACCGTGCCCAAGCGCGCTTCAACGCTAAAGTCCAGTTCGTTTGGCCAGTGTGACCGCTCCGTATCGTGCGCAGGCACGGTACACTTCCTTGGCTTTGGCACACTTCAGAGAGGTGTGCTTCAGCACGGTGCACTTCATGCACCAGCACAAGCACGCAGGTACACAACGCTGACAGCCTTCATTATGGAGAAATCCAGAGTTTCATGTCTGTATCTGACTAACATGACTCAATATAAGACACAAAGTATCTGTCATGTTCTCTGAGTTGTTCTCTGATGTGCAGACGCGGACTCGACTGCGCGTCTCTTGTGTGTCACCAGTGTGACCGCGCCCTGAGACAACTCAAACACACATAGATCTGACTTTAACCTCTGTCTGTTGGAGTTTTCTTAGGATGATTGTGAACGCTTTGTCCTGATGAGCAAACTTTAGTGTATTCCTTCTGTTGAAGGAGTGTGATTTTGATTGACTGTTCCAGTTGTATTTTTCCTGTAAGTTTTGACTTTTTTATATTATTGGATTGGCTCCACAATTTCCCAGTTTGGGATCAATAAAGTAATTCTATTCTATTCTCTTCTCTTTTGTTTGTTTTGTGGAAGAAGCTTGTTTTGAGTTGAACGTTTTGTCTTAAGCGTGTCAATAAATCATTTAAAACTTTGCTTATATTTAGTTCCTATTCGCTGGGTTTTATTTAATTGTTACATCTCAGGGAACGTAACAGTCATTGGTTGTTGGTTGGTTGTGTCCTGTGAGGTAAAATCCCAATTTCTGTCAGTTTAGTCGGACATCTTTAAAGACTGTGATGTAACAGCTGTTTCTAGTCTAAAAACATCTTCTTTAACAATACGAGCTATCTATGTAGGGATTCTTTCTGTGAAGTTGTCAGACACTAAGAATAACAATCTGAGCCTGTCAGAGACAAAAGCAAGAACGTTTAGTGGAGGCACTTTGGTGAATCAAAGATTATGTTGCAGCCATCACAGCCTGTTTTACAGCTGCAGGTTGAAGCAATCGTCTGAAGGAATTTCAAAACTGTTGTACTTATAAGTTACCTTCAAGTACCTATAGGACCACAAAAATATTTTGTTAGAGAATCAGGGTCTAATTGTTTTTTTTTGTATGTATGTGTTTATCTTGTTCTTGTTGGGAAAAAAAATACACATTCTGTACAGACATTACTAAATGGAAATATTGTTAATATGTAAAAGCAATAAAGAAAGTAAAAAAAAAAAAGAGTTAGAGAATCAAAAAAGCAATGTATAAAAATAGACAGACCTGTTCTGATGGAGAAGGAGGCGGAGGCAGAGTCCCGAGCTCCTTCAGGTGTCTGTTTGTCTCTTTAGCCAGCTGGTTGGTGTAGTGCTGGAGCTGCTGGCTGCACACACACACACACACACACACACACACACACACACACACACACACACACACACACACACACACACACACACACACACACACACACACACAGTGAGATTTAGACACACACACACTTCAGAGACATCAAAACACAACATGGGACCACAGTGAACCCAGACGAGGACTCACAGCTTCTCCTGCAGCTCCGACGTCTCCTGACGAGTCTCCAGCTGGTAGAGCAGATTCTTGATCTGACCGGCTGCACAGAGAGAGAGTTGCAGATTCAGAAAACATAGAATCCTGTGTGTGTGTGAGGTGTTACATTGTGTGTCGTACACACAGTTACACTGCTCACTCACAGTTGTGGCTGATCTTCTGGATATTGGAGCTGCACGTCTGGACGAGGCCGTTAAAGTCCCCGGGCTGGGACCAGCCGCTGTCTGCTCGCATGTACGACATCCTGACCGGAGGCAGACACACTCACAACACAAACTACACACACACACACACACACACACACACACACACACACACACACACACACACACACACACACACACATACAGGGAGGAGGAAAGGAGCAAACAAACAAAAAAGTCACACAAATACACAAATCCTGTTTGTCGCTTTTTTGTCGATATCCTTTACTGCTTTTGTTGCTTATTTATTTTATTTGTTAGACAAACTAGATTCAACTACTTCAACTTCAAACTAGATGCCCTCAAATATCAGATAAATAATAAAATAGAATACAGAGATTAAACTAAAACACGTAAGTCAAATTAGACAGGAAGTGACTCAACTTATGGGATAAATAAAAATGTTTGACGACCATGATCACATCTTTTATTTTTTACTGTGTACAAAGTGATTATACTTTTCTTTTTTGTTATCAAAAGTTAGATATTTCTTATTAATCTTATTTTATTTATTATTTATGTATTATTGGGGGGTGGGAGGTGGGGGGGGAGAAAAGAGAAAAGAAAAGGAAATGCTTGTTGTCAAATGTTTATGTCCAATGCTTTTTTAAAATTTTCTTACTTCTTTTTTCTTAAATAAAAATATGCTTAAAAAATAATAATCTTATTTTATGCTTTTGCTTGATTTCATTTCACTGTAACTTTGACTCCTTGATTTTTGAAGCCTGTCTCGTATTTGATTCTTGTTTTTGCTTTAATATTTTAATTAATTATTAACAATTAAATTAAGACTTTACTGCAAGCAAGCTTCATGGGGGGGGGGGGTATCTGTAGGTCTGGACCAGCCTGTGAGCTGCGACTCGACACGGACTGAGCAAACTGTGAGCCTGAATCCTCAGGAAGACGTTCTGAAGGTGGATTGTTAAACAGAATCCATTTTGATTGGGTGAGACCCGTTGGTCATTTACCAAAGGACCAACCACCAACCCAAATTTGTGATATTTCGTTTAACCAATCGGATTTATTGAATGAAAAATACTGTAGAGCAGTTTGGATAAGAAAAGGAACAAAGAACCAGCATGTTTTAAGAAGCGCTTCATCGACTTTTTGACACTTTTTTTTTCACGGTCACAAGTTCGCGACCCCCTGAAAACGGCTCTGCGACCCACTTTTGGGTCCCGACCCACCAGTTGAGAACCACTGCTTTACAGTACCACACAGAGCTGATTTCTGAAAGTAATCATTTACTATTATTAACAGACCCAACACACAATTAACGGTACTTAATAATTTGCTTAAATAATAGCAAAACGACCTGTTATCATGAATATGCAAATAAATATAATTTTGACGTTTTTCTTCCATCTCTCTTGGATCTTTTTGAATCGCCTTGTTGATGTAATGTACTTTATAAATAAAGTGTCCTTGCCTTATTTATTACCTGCTTACTGTTTTTTTCCCCTACTTTGTTGTGCAGCTGAAACCAGAGTCTGACATGATGGGGCTCAGAGATACAACAACAACAACAACAACAACGACAGAATAAATCACTGCCCTCCACTCCTTCTTTAACCGTCTGAGGATGAAGATGTTTGTGTTTGTACAGATCCTTACAGACTTTTATATTTATGTGAAGGACGCAGGTAAAAACAGAGAAAACAGAAAACAGGCGCACAGCCCGAGCCATCACGTGGATTAATCTTCTGACTGATCTGAGAAAAAATACACCAACGAACCGGGAGCTTAAAATTCACATCAATAAAACATCTCAACCTTGAATTCAAAGCAAACTGTCATCGACATTAAATGATACAGAACAGCGATCATTGGTTATTAAATCTAATTACAGGCCGTTATTAGTCGTTCATAACATGCTCATCATAACTTGTCCAATCACTGCCAACCCTTCAGATTTGCTCCACAGGTTTTCCACAGCAGGTGAACTCGCCACTGTCAGAGGCTTGATTAAATAATAAAAGCATTGGATACCTTACTTTTAGAGTGAAGCTGCTCCCACACTGTCTGCTGCCTCTCAAGTATTCCTGGACCACAATAAACCCAGCCCGTATGACGTCACACGCTCGCAGCACTAATCCGACGTCAGCGTGCACGCCGAGAAAAAAAAAAGAAAAAAAAAAAGAATAATAATCAAACTGTGCGTCGGGTGAAAAAAGGTGTCAAAAGCGTGTTTTCAGTGAGTTCACTTGTTCATATCTTTATTACTACACATGAACTATCCGGTGTCTTTTCTCTGCGTGACGCTCCCGGTCTCCTCTCTGTGGAAATATTTCAGCCACATGACTTTCACGCAGGCTTTAATAATAAGCCAGCATTGTGCAGCCGAGCACGTGACAGCAGGGAGAATTAACTCATTATCCGGCCGTAACCATGGTTACCAGCAAGAAAGGAGGATGAGACCCCTCCTTTAGAGGTTTGAAGCCCATGACTTAAAAAACAAATGATGACATATTTTAGGAAAGTTTGCACAGTTTGAGGACTAAATCCATCATTTGATTTATCTTTTGAAGCAGGGGTCCCTAAACTTTTCAGAGAGTGGGGACCCCCACCATCCCTGCAGGTGGTTGAGGCATATACTATTATCGATAACTATATATAATGAGCACCTTTAAAAACACAGGTTTACATAAGCATAAAAAAGAACAAATCAAGAGAACCCCAAACACAGAAGAACCCAAACAGCAAAATGCCCGAGAAAGATATTTAAGCAATCACAAGACCCATCATAAGAACCCAGGAAACACAAGAAGCCGACAACATGAGCTGAGGCCGAGAGAACCAAAGATTTAAGAGGATGTAAGCATCTAAAAGATTTTAAATGAAATAAAATCATATAACAGAGATTTACAAAACATATAAGCATGTTTCAATAATTTGATATCCATATTGTAGGAGCCAAAATGCTTGTTTTATTTGATCCTTGCAAGAAACTTAACAGAACACTATGAATTTGTATTTGAGTGTAATTCTGACACCGAACACTAGGTGGAGCCTTGACTTATGCTGTGCATAAAGTCAAGGCTCCAGGTAATTGGATTCAGGTGTGTGTTTGGAAGCATATAGTTTTTTGACAGTGTCGGCGTGTCGGGTTGACTTGGATGTAACAGTTTATGCTTTATGATGTGTTGGACAGAGTGAGACATTTATGTTCATTAGTGAACCCGATCATGAACTATAATAAACAGATTGAAGACTCTATTGGAAAAGAGAATCAGACATTTGTTTGTTGTAACGCCAGGTGCACAGGTGGAAATAGTTCCACAACTCACATCTCAGTGGTGACTGCTTTGGACAATTTAGGGTTTCTTTTAAAATGGCTACCACACATATCATGTGAGGATATACTTCCCCCCCCCCCACCCCCCACTATGGTAGTAGCTATATTATATTGTCAGTTTTAAAAGGTCAAAGGTTCAATGGGAGTCTGACTGACCAGTATAGGGCGACAGTGCACCTCAATTATGTCCAAAGCAAGCAGCAACCTCTGGTGTTGAAACATTAAGACAATGTGGAAGTGCAAAATCCTGCAGTTTGTCGAGTGTCCACTTGAGGCTGGATTCGGTAACACAGGAAGTCACATACACACATTTAAAAAAAAGCATGTATAAACATGTGTACAGCCTGGTACAGAAAACCAAATATGATTAGTTATGGTCATCATGTGCACACACTGCACGGGGTGATTTTTTAATAATGCTTCCTTTTTCATTTTATGAAGGACACATGTTATAGGTAGTTAGGTGCATCACTGATATGATTGACAGGCGGGCACGATGTAACATTTTATCAAGAAGCTTAAAACCCACCTTAGCTCCAGCTCTCAGTCTGTCGTTAGGTTGACTGAAAGTTAGACTAGTAGTAGTAATCATTTATTTCGGTTACAAGAAAAAACCGAAACATTTTGACTGAAAAGGTGTAGGCTGAAGCTTTAGCTTATTACACCTACCCTACAAATCTCATTATTTAAGACACTACAAGTTTGGTTACAAAAAAACAAAACGTATCAGAACAAAATTTGTCCCAAGAATTTCTTTCAAAACAAAACAAATGAAACAAACAAAAAACAAAACAGAAGTCACACTCACAAAAAATAATCAAACCGACATTTTATATTTGTTAAACACCATTTTTTAAACAAAAAATTTAATCTTGAAAGACTGAGACGGAATTATCAGTATGGAGACTGCTGATGATGAGCCTCCAGAGCCTGTGCAGGCTCCAGTTACAGATGGGCAACGACATTCAGGCTTCTTCCATTTATATTTACAGTCTGTGGTCCAAAGCACTAAAACTAGAAGACTGAAAGCAAACATGATGCCACCTCAAGCACTCACAGCAGATAAAAAGTTAGACACTTTAAATTAAGGTCCCAGCTTTCACCATTAACTAGTTGCTTATGAGCATGCTAATAAGTAGTACTACATACTACGACTTTATTTTATTCTTTAAAGACTTTAAGAGTTCTACTTTCATCATTTTGAACAGGCTGGTCTCGAACTCGTTAATTTACAAGATTATTCTCGTAAATTTACGACTTTATTCTGGTATATTTACAAGTAATTTAATCCCGAAAGTAAAAAAAAATAATAATAATAATTTAACGTGGCCTCCATCATAGAACACTGGGCACTGTGGGTCAAAATAAGATGTGAAACACTTTTACAAGCACTGAGACAAATTTGCAAATGACAGAATCTTGACAGAAAGGGAATGTAGTGTTTCAGACTTTGTGATCTTGCTTTGCACTTCCCAGCCACCGTAGCACACAGAAAGCTGCCTTAGAAAATATAATGTTGTAAAATGCAACACTGAATATTTTCTGCAACCTCATTTTGTCCACAGTCGGACTCTTTCCAAACCTCGATGCTCTATCAGTTGATGTAATCTTTATGTAAATATAATTCTTCCGCTTACATGAGCGCGTGTTCACCTTACAATAACTTTGGGTTTCTTCAGAAGAAATTCAAAGTAAAGGTGTGGACATTAAAGGTAAACAGTGACCTGTCATCCATGTGACACAGACATAATAGTGAGCTTACTTTGTCATTTAAAGTACATTTAGAGGATCAGCGTGTGTAAAGGTGTTATTATGTACATCCTTGTGTGTAGAAGCAGTGGGCTTACCGGGCTCCTCCTTTCACACATAAGTTTTGCACACACTCAAACAACGGACAGGTCAGAAGATAAAATAATTAAATGGACTGTCACACCTCCACCTGTGGACTGTCACTTTGACATCCAGAGAGCGGGCTCATTTATTATAATTATAAAACTTTTTTAACACTTCTCTCTTAGCACATTTCTCCAACAACACTCAAGTTCACCTGCAAAAGGCTCAAACTCAACCATGATGTCAAAATGAACAACATGAAACAGGAAATGTTGGGAGGAGAGAGAGGGGGGGATGACATGCAGAAAAAGGGCAGAGGTCGGATTTAAACACTAAGCTGCTCCGCTGATGAGGACTATAACCTCTGCACACGGGGCGTGCAAAATATCTGCACCCCACCACGTCTCATACCTGAAATTATGTGTAAAGCCATGTGTGTAAATGTTTTTTTTTTGTGGGGTTCTTATGCCTTTATAGACACAGAGTCATTGCATTTAAAGAGACACACACACCAAAACGGAGCGTTCTCAGAGAGCTGGTTTATACAGGGTCACAAACCTCATCTGGTGTTTTAACAAGTGTGCAAACCTGGAAATTTCCTGAACATTTTCGGGGTGAGCGGCAGGTGTGAACACAAACGGATGGTTAACTTCACCCCCTGACTTTTTCTTGCCAGCCTCCAATTGGAGGGAACTCAGTAAGATTTCAGGGGCCGCCTGTCCTGGAACTTTACAAATAAAGTAAACTGAACCAGATACATTTTTTTAATTCTGATGGGTAGAAAAACTAAAATGAACAGACTTTTTTTTTTTTTTTTAAATGAACCTGAAAGTCAATTAACATACCTTGTAAATCAGTGAAAGTCAAGGAGTTACCCATTCGAAACTCTCGGACTTCTCTAACACAAACTTCGACAGTGACTTGTAGTATGAGTTTTTGAGTGGACACTGGAGGTATGAACACTGATTACAAATAATGACAGTCTGTCTGAGAGTTAATCCCTCTGAATTGTGATCCCTGTCTGCATAATCCTTTTTAATTTGATCGAAAATATTAACCCAGAGTAACATCAGCCTTTTCTTTCCCTGCAGAAGAAACGCTTGGATGTCTGACACTGGCTGACGCATCAAGTAGTATTTGTCCCAAGCCCGTCTGCAGATGACCGAATTATGAGAATGGTGTCATGAATGGTTGGAAAACAAGGAATGGTGGACCCAAGTGCAGAATAAACAAAGTATTTAACAAGCAAAAAAGGCAAACAAAAACTAACTATCAAAATCCCAAGACGAAAAAACATGGAGACACTAGTAGACTGACAAACAACACTGAACTGACACAGAGGGAAAGAAACACAGAGACTAAATAGACAAGGTAATCAGACACAGGTGAGACTAATGACACAGGTGAAGACAATGAGGGTAATCAAGGCAGGGCGAAACACAAGACCAGAAACACTGAGGACAATACAAAATAAATCATGAAACACTAAAGACACACAGAACTCAAGATTCTAACAAAACACACTAGAACACAGAGATACACGAGGATAAGAAATGACAAAATAAAACAGAAAACACTGAAGACAAAACTAGGAAACCATCAACACTAGGAAACATTAACACACAAGGGAAACAAGCAAAACTGGGATAAAACAGGAAACTCAAATACAAAACCAAATCATGACAAATAATCCATCCTCTCCGTCCACTTTTCAGAAAATGTGTGCGCAAACAAAACGATAACTCATCCGTTTTTATTTTATGAAGGATCTGAGTTATACACAATAAGGCCCGTAGCTGACATGATTGACAGGTGGTCGCAATGTTTTGTCAGGAGGCTTAAAACCCGCCTCAGCTCCAGCTCTCAGTCTGTCGTTAGGTTGACTGAAAGTTAGGATGAGACAGCATTTCCAACATGGCGGCTGCTGCTGATGAGCCTCCGGAAACCCCTGCAGGAACAGATGGCTGACGTCACTCAGGCTTCAAACATATATTATATTTACAGTCTGCGGTTTATAGGCATGATCAAATACAGGATCAGAGTGGATTTAAAACATAAAACTCCACATGTTTTTGGGAGCTCTACCCACTTATTACTTGAACTATACTTCAAAGAAGTGAAAAACACAATAAGCTGAAATACAAATACAGAAACTGTATTTTTCAAAAACGACCAAAATGTTTCAATACCTAGCCATCCATCGTCTTCTGCTTTTCCCAGGCCTAGTCCCAGGCAGCAGGCTAAAGCTGGCTCCACACAAGACAGCTTAACCGATTTTTTTAAACATGTGGGAGACCACAGACATGAGGACAGTTTTAACTGACTTTTAACATTAGAATCCTTTGAATGCAAACACCAGGCGACTCGGATGCTGTTTGTAGTAACGATCTTTCAGTGGCAATTCTACAGAAATTACAGAAATCTCATTCTTTCTGTCATTATCCACAAATCACGACCACAGGTGGAGGTTGGACCGTAGAGCTTGAAAAGTGAATTGAAAGCCACGACAGTCGGGTACAACATTACAACGTCCGCTGTAGCAATCCATCTGTCAATCTCTTGATCCTGTTTAAGCTCCACACTGTGAATAAGACCCGGAGATACTTGAACTCGTTCACTCAGGGCAAAGACTCGTGCCCCATCCTGTGGGAGCAATCAATTTTCATTCAGACCCTCGTCCCAACCCCTTCGCACTCGGCTGCATTATGACGCAATTTCAACGCTTTCAATAAATATTTTGGGGCTATTGAATTACACAACCTCCTAGCTTACAAAACCCCCACAGTAATGGAGGCCATATATCCTTGTAAGTAGTTCTGGATTAATGTATTTAGTGTATGTATTAAACATATGTGAACGAAAAGAGCTCATTTTAGTTTTTTCTAAAGACACATTTTGAATACTTTTATTTCATTTTAATTTGTATGCTTCTATTTTAGAGTACAATGGATAGAGAGTCAGAGATCAAGGAGAGAGAGAGAGAGTGGGGAATGATATTCAGGAAGGGAGCCACAGGTCGGATTTGAAGCCTGAGTGATGTCAGCCATCTTCCGGCTTTGGAGTCCCATCTGCAGCAGCCGCCATGTTGGAAATGCTGTCTCAGCCTAACTTTCAGTCAACCTAACGACAGACTGAGAGCTGAAGCTGAGGCGGATTTTAAGCCTCCTGACAAAACCTTGAGCCTTGACCAAGGCCTCTTGATCAACCGTTACATCGCGCCCACCTGTCAATCATGTCAGCTACGCGCCTAACTATGCATAACAAGTATCGTCTTTAAAATCAAAACGGAGCCGTTTAAAAAAATTCACCCCTTACAGTGTACCAGTGATGACAAATAACTAATCAGACCTATTTTGTTTTTTTTGTACCAGGCTGTAGACATGTTTATTTATTCTGTAAAAAAACAGCTTTTTTGCCTGTTGTGTGTATGTGACTTCCAGCGTTCCTGCAGCCAGCCTCTAGTGGACACTCGCAGAACTGCAGCATTTTGCACTTCCGCATCGGCTTCAGTTTTCAACACTGGAGTTTGCTGCTTGGTTAGAGCACACATTTTCTGAAACGTGGAGCAGGCAAAAGACAGAAAAGATGGACTTTTCTGATGATTTGGGCGTCTGCAGACGGGCTTGGTACACATATGGCCTCGATACATGGGGCCGTGCACACAAACCACGAGGCTACCAGTACCCACTTGAATAACTTTTAATATTTTATTTGAGTGACATCCATGACCTGTTAGCGTAGGTTGTGCACATTCTAAAACTTAACTTAAGATAACCTGACATGAAACCAGGCAAAAATACCCACGTGTCAGGTATATTTTTTTTGCTCAGTTAAAGAAGAAATATTTTGTTTATGTCTCTACCTGCAGAACACTTCTGGATCAATATGTTGTTCTAGGAAATGTTGATGCTTGTATATGTAATTGTTTGACATGCATTACCATTTTGCTTTTCAACGTGCAGATTCTAGGAATAAAGAAACTCAAGAAATGACTTCACAAAAAGTAAAAAATAAAAACGTAGACGCTGAAACGACAGAAGAGAGGAAATTACTCAGAAGTAAGACAGGATGAAATGAAAGTGTGCAGAGGAATGGCGAGACGTGTGTCCTCTCCTTTGTTTTCATTACTTTACATGTCTCAGACACTGTTCAAACACCTTTCCACCTCTCCCATGCTCTCTGTTATTCCTACAGAGACCACACCTCAAACACGCCTATATTCAATATGCTTTTCAGTCGGCCGATAAAGAACAGTAACGCATGATTTCTCCCCCTCTCTCTATTCCCCTCGTATAAAAGTGTCCCTTTCTGCCTCCACCTGCAGCCCCCTCCACAGTCATCCGCAGGTAGGCATGATTTATTCATACATGCTCAATTTAAGGATTATGCTTACTCTGTATAAAATGTTAGATTCATAATATGTGTTAAACAGACGTAAGAATTGATATTAATTTGATTTAAATTATCAGCGTAGCTGTAGTTTAGATTTGATGAAAGTTTGAGAACTTAGTCTGAAAACGAAAGGGTTAACTCTTTGTGTTAGAGTCATAATTATATCTCCATTATTGGGGCTTTACTACGCTGCTTTTGTGATTAGTTAGAGTTCTTCTAAGTACAGGAATTTTTTTTTTTTTTCTACATCTTTTGACCAAATTTGCGGCATTCTCAAGCAACAATATCTAAGAAAAAAAATCAACAATATAAATAACACCTGTTCAAAATCAGTCTGCAGCGATATGTGACGTTTAGCTCCCATCATTTTGCACGCAGTCTGAATCAATTGGATTAGTTTGGTTTTTAGCTGAACAGACAAACCGCGCTGTGACACCATTTTAAGTTAATGCGCGCAGGGGGCGGCTGTATCCTCGATAAATCAAACATATTTATTTAAAACATTCTCAACTTGATGCATTCTTGAAATTAATAATCCGGATTTATTTTCCTTGCGTCACTGTCCAGTTGGTGTTGTGCTCTAGTTTGAGATTTTTTTTTCTTACTCATTTAGTTTGTTTGCGGTTTTCTTCATCCTCCTGCTTAAATTTGGAAAAAAAATAATTATTATACTCCAAGATTCACAAAGTGTTTTGCTGGGACTCAGTGAAGGTTTAGGGAAATCTCTTTCTACATTATGTCCTTGTGAGTGTTAAATGTATAACATGCAAGTATTTTGAAATTTGTACGATATACATAGATATGTATAATTTTCCCCTTCAACCTTAGATTGGCTAATTGAAGATGTACTGCAACAGGCTGCAGGCCAATTTTTCATGTTGTCTTTTATGTTGGGCCTTTACGAATGACTGTTTGAGAGACATTTTAATTCCTTTGAAAATTAAGCATGGAAGATTATTAATATTTGTATTTATCTATTTATTGAATTAGTACAGTGCACATTTAGGCATATCAGCAAATATGCTGGACTTAGCACGAGCGCTAACAGACACCACTTTTGGACTAAATTCAGTTCTATGCCTTGGTACATTACAGTCTCCTCTAACAGAGATATATAACGTCTGTATGATATTATTAGTGGTGAAAGATAAGGTAAATTGATGCTATTTGGACATCTCTTAGAGGGCTTTCACACTTCACACAGAAAACCCCTGATATTTCCAGGAGGAGCTGTATGTGAAAACGCAAACAGATGCATTATTCGCTCGGACTTTACCCAGAGTTTTTCCTGCCACAAACCTAGTATTTATCTGGGCTGATGTGAGAACGCAACAGGATATTCTCCGGAGAGTTCAACATGAGCCTGTGGAAGGGGGGAGTGATGTTCATATCCCCGGTGCATAGAGTGTTTGCACGCGACCGCTACAATCTTGGTGCACATAATTAAATGGCTGAATTATGCTTCTTATTCTCCAGTGTGTTTCCTCTCCCCTTTTGTTGATAGTGTGATTCTGTAGCATTGATGTAAAGGCAAATATTCTCATCATAGCGTCTTGCGGACTCTGCTCCTCGTCCGCTACTTCTGTGGTTTTTTTTTTTACGTCATGTCTTACCTCTACCTCTTTTTTATTGAGTCTACTGTGGAGGCAGCTATATGTGTTAGTCTGAGATACATTTCCTCAAGGACACAACAGCTTATTGTGACGAGTTGTATAAAGTATTTCAAGGGTGGGATAGAAAACAAGAAGGGAGCTGCAGAATGTGTGTGTGTCAAAATGAATTCTTATCTCTAAGATTATTTTATTAAAATCGTGTTGTCATCTCTCTCTCTTTTCCTTCAGCTATGGAAATGAGGCCTCTCACGCTGTGTTTGGCTGCTGCACTCTTTGCAGGTATTAATGTGTTATCGCAGCATCATCCATTTTGAGTACTGAAAATGTTTTGGGTCATGACTAATACATTAAGTAAAATCTCTTCTTCTCCGCAGTATGTCACAGCTGTTCTTCAGGAAAAGAGTTTATCACAGGTTTTCTTCCAAACTACCAAAAACAAGGAAAATCCACAGACCACAGACTCCACTTGGTCCTGACTGCTCAGGAATCTGAGGCCAAAGTCCACATTCAGGTATGATCCAGCATCTAAAAGTTAATGTGGTGCTCATGCACAGGTAAAATTAAGGTTCTATAGTAGTACCAAAGCTTTTGAAAAACCTACATCTGTTCATGAGACAGGAGCGCAGGAAAGGAATAAATCCATCATACCACATGGACTTTATGTCCCTACTAAAATTAATATAAAACAAAGAACACCAAGTGCAGCAAAGGAAACAGCTACTTTACTGACTTTGTGTCTTATTTTGAGTCATTTGAGTCAGATACAGCCAGAACAGTCCACACTGTGTCCCTGTGATTGTGCTGATGCATGAACTTTAGCGTACCGAAGAACACCTCTTTGAAGCATGCCAGGAACCAAGGAAGTGTTCCGTGTTTGAGCTCGGATCAGAGCACTCACACTTCTCAAACAAACTGGGATTTGAGGGGAAGCGTGCCTAAGAAGAAGAATTGGACACAGTAAACAAAAGGGACCCTTTAGGGTAACCTTGGCACCTCAACAGAAGGGTACCAAAAAAGTAGGACGGTACGGATCTCTTATTTTGGTACCATTCCCAACTTCTGACGCTGGAAACGGCAATAAATGGGTAGCGTCCCAAACGGAACCAGACCGCTTGGTGGAAACGGGGCTATAGTTCGAGAGCACCCTCAAAGTCCTGTTCGTTTGACTATTTGCAGTTTTGTTCTCTGTGTTATTCTCCGATATGCAGACACTTATGCGTCCCTTTTTCATTTTTTTGAGTCCGCTTGTCTTGTAAACTAAGCACGCTTCATGATCATGTTATGTATAAGAGGTAACCATGCTCAGGCCCGGTTAGTCCTGGAGCAGTGTGAGTGCAGGCAGGCGGGGGAATGGGGAGGGGACAACTGGGCCTAGTGTGAGTGTGCCCTAAGTGTTTTATCTGGTTTTAAAACTGATACTGACACAGATTCCTTCTAAAGACCTTCAAAAGCAAACCATTCATTTGATTGTATTTGTCACTGCTTTAATGTCCTCTGAGAACACCATCTAACACCAGCCAGTCTGATTTTATTGTAGTTTCTGAAAGTTCTCATTGATCTGCAGGTGGCTTCAGTCAAGTTCTCCAAGCAGCTGACCCTACGTGCAGGGGAAACTCGTTGGGTTTCTTTACCATGTGGAACTGAGCTGCAGAAACTATACGTCAGTCCAAAATCTGCAGTTCGAATCTCATCGAGCACTGGAATCTCTGTGGTCACCTTCAACCGCCGCACTAACACGGGAGACGGCGCAGTGGTTTCCCCAATTCAAGATCTAGGCACTGAGCACTATGTATACACACCCCCACCTGGGAGACATGGCTTCGACAGGCTAGTTGGTATCGTAAACGGGGACAGCCAGAACATGATCACCATATTGCCAGCCAGTGATGCAAAACTCAGAGGGGGAGCGAAGTGGAATAAAGGGAAAGCGGTGACCGTCACCCTGCAGCCCTACGAGTCCTATCTGATACGAAGTCATACCTGTTTGTCAGGCACTCAGATTAAATCCCAGAAGCCCGTGGCGGTGTTAACTGGTCACCAGTGTCTGGACCTCAAATTTGCGTGTGAACATGTGTATGAGCAGCTCCCCCCTGTGGCTAAAATGGGTAAGGAGTACATTGTGCCCTTCACTGGGAACTCCAAAACAACTAACGTAGCTGTGGTTATGACTGGTGAAGACGACGCTGAATTGACGGTGTGCCAAGGCCAACAACCAATGAAACAGTTGAGTCAAATATTCATTATTATTCTGTTGATGCTACATACATCGGGTTTATTAACACTTTCTGGATGCTTGATCATTTGTTCACCCATTTGTCAAAAAGATTGTTTTTGGTGTTTGTCACTTGACCTTAATGGAATCCAGGTTCTTTGACGTTTCTGTGGTTCTGTGACTTTTTTTGAATATACAAATGACTTTATAAGCCAGAGAGTCACAGCATTAGTTCAAGGTTTAAGGAAAAATATGAATCAAGAGACAAGACAATGTCAAGGGAAAATCCAGAATAAAGAGGCAATGTTGAGAAACAATGATAATGGGGAAGTTTAAACATTGAGAACACAAGTCTTTGACTTGAGACTGAAGTCAAAATGTCAGGTATTGTCACAGCTATGGAGGGACAAGGAACTGGACCCAATTTCAGATGAAAAAAAAATGTCTTAAGTCCAAATTCCAAAAATTAAAAAGGTCCAATATAAAAGTCCAAACACAGGGAGTAACAAAATGTCACCAAGGACACACGGAGAAGATTTTGACGTGACGATCTGACAAGGAAGAGAAAGCACACAGACACTAAATAGAAACCAAACCAAATAATATTGTTTACCTGCTAGGGCCCGATCGATATGGAATTTTTGGGGCTGATACCGATTTCAATATTTGGGAGAGAAAAAAATCCAAAACCAATATATCGGCCAATATCTTTCTAAGATATATCTTTGATCTGTAGACATAGATTCATACCTTTATTGCCTTGATCCCTCAAATGCAGTTACCAAACCCTTGTAAAAAGATATATGACATAGACAAGATGGTCACTCAACAGGGAAGTAACTACGCATGAAGGCGCATCACCGCTTGACACGCTGGAGAATGACAGTGCTTGTTGTAATCAACTCTGCTGGTGACAGATAACTGCTAGAGTAAAACACTGAAAGTCAAATAAATGCTACTCTACAGACGACTAAATCTTGAAATATCGGCACATATCTGCGATAAAAGTAACTGATACCGGTAGTCACTACATACGCTAATATCGGCCGATATTGGCTGGCTGATTAATTGGTTGGGCGCTTTTACCTGCTGACATTTTTAAAAGAAATTGTGCACAGTTTTGACTTTTTTCTGGGTGTTTTCTTACCTTTGGACTAGTCAGTTAAACTGAATTCGAATTTCCATTTAACCGACTAGAAAATTAGTCGGCTGAGAACATTCCTACTTTTGAACTGTGTTATAAAAGACATGCCAATATGTTAAATCTCTTTAAAATTAAGATGACTTTTTATATTGAAATACTAAAAAAAAAAAATCCTTTTCATTTACAGTATTCTGAAGAAAGCGGGACAAATGTTGGCCATTCCGATGAAAATGAAGCGTCCTCTGATGGTTAAGAGCAACAAGAAGGTGATGGTGCTGCTGCTTAGCGACAACAAACCAAGGGACCCCTTCTTGATAACTCTGATTCCGACATGCAAGCTGTCCACTGATTGGGCGGTGGAGACAGTGGACGGGTTAAAAAGCTGGGTTTCCATTGTGTCACGGAGGGAGGGGGCAAGCAGTGTGAAGGTGTGTAATAAGGGGCAGTGCTTCTCAAAACTCGAGTGGTCCAGCGTCGGCTCAGATAATGTATGGGTGTCGACAAATGTCAAAGTGGGAAAACAGCAGAGTCATTTCACAGTGGAAGGAGATGTTCGTATGGCGGTCTATGCCTATGGTGGAAATAGAGCCCATGGGTTTGGAATCGCTGGAGTCTGTTCTGGAGGTACAATCACTCACATATATACTGTAAATTCACATATTCACACACACACACACACACACACACACACACACACACACACACACACACACACGCACACACAACAAAACTGCTGATTCAATGTTGTGCTGTATTTGTTCACTTATATGCATTTACATGTTGTGTATATTTTGAAGGTAACACTCCACCACCACCACCCAAAGATCCCTGTGAAGACGTTACATGTCGGTCAAAGGAGAGTTGTGTGAATGGAGAATGTGTCCCTGTTTCCACGGCAACTTGCACAGCCATGGGTGACCCCCACTACACATCGTTTGATGGACGTCGCTTTGACTTCCAGGTATGATTGAACAAGGCAAGCTATCAGAAGGCTTTCACCATATCTATACTAAGGTGGTGAATAGAAAGTATTTTCTCAAATCAACAAATATAGAAGTGTGCTTCTATCACGGAAATGTTAGAAGCACATGTACCATGGACCGTAGACTGTATATATACATGTATATATATCGCACGGCTCCACCTCCCCTCCTTATACAAAGTGAAGTAAAAACATCGCTAACATCTTGGCCCGGTGACATAATTTAGAGCCAGAGTCTGAACAGTATGGATCAACTGGTGGAGCCACAGAATTGAATAAGTCCTTTTAAGTCCTTGACACACCAAAAAGTTGCTCTAGACCACATCGCAAAGACTACAGCCAACGGCCAACCACCACGTAAGTTCTGCGAATGTGTGAGAGGAAATAACTCTCCATGCTAGCAGGCGGCGGTAGTCCGTTGTCATGATACGAGAAGACCATCTTCACACCGTGCGCCATTCGTATTACAGTTAGCCTACTAATCAAGAATAATGTTTGATAACAAGTTGAAAATGGCGCTGGCGTTGTCAGCCCTTGGTCTTTTAGTGGAAAAAGAAAAGAAAAGGCGGAGGCAACAAATAAAGAGAAACCGCACTAATGGGTGAAAGCATGGATACTACAGCAGCATGCGCAAGGGGCTTTACAGAAACTGTGTAGAGAGCTGGAGATAAATGAAACCTCCGAACAGCCAATCAGAGAGATTCCTCTAACCGACCGCCAATGCGGATTCAACCATGTCGAATTGGCCAAAAAAAGGCCGATGGTGGCCGATGGGTAGCAATGGAGCCGGTCCAACTAAGACCAACTAAGACCGATGGCCAATGATCTCCTTGGTGTGTCAGGGCCTTAACAGCAAGCACACATTAAACTTACAAATAAATCATCAAAGATCTCTTGTGTTGGTTTGAAGCAGACACACACAGTTATAGGAAGTTCAGTGACTCGTGTGTTATGCTTCCCATCAGCAGGGGAACTCCTCCTCTACTCTGATAATCTGGTGCACACAGCATCACAAGAGCCTAATTGGTCAACAGAGCCTTCAACCATGGGGTTATACCCCATTTAATAGCATCACATAACTAATTAGAACTAAGCTTCTCAGAGAAATGATCACTTGGAAATAATTAAGCATGATAAGGACTAACAATGATAAAAAAAACATGTTTAAGAAAAATGTATTTGACATGTATTTTGGTTTTTAAAGTTTGATAAATGTCCCATCTGTTAGCATGGAGGAGGTGGGATTTATGACTGCAGCCAGTCAGTAGGGGGAGCTCTAAATGCTCTGGCGTCACATTAAGGGAGCTGTCATGTTGTTGGTCTGTTTTTATAATTTGAGCTCACTGTCTCAGGTTGTCTTACAAGCTGCAGAAAATGTTTATAATGGGCGTAAATTATTCTTTTTAGGGCACCTGTACCTACATTATGGCAACAGTGTCAGAAAAAGATCCTACCCTTACTCAATTCACTGTAACAACAAAGAACAACCATCGAGGAAGCCGCCGAGTTTCCTACGTGAGGACTGTGACCGTGACTGTATACGAGCAGACGATAGTCATCAGCAGACATGGAGGACGAGTAGAGGTAACACACTCACATGTGGAATGTAATTATCAATAAAGACACAGTTAAAACGGGCTTAGCTGCGACTCAGTTACAGAAGATATTTGTAGTCAGCAACACAGCTGCTGGATTGCATGGCTCAGCTTTTAGCCAGGAGAGATACAGACTTACGGGAAGTTGTGATTAATGGTCTGTTGTTACCTCCAGGTGAACGGGGAGCTTCAGTACCTGCCTGTCAGTCTGTTGAAGGATAAGGTCACTGTGAGTAGGAGTGGGTCCTACGCTGTCCTGAGCACTGACTTTGGCCTGGTTGTAAAATACGACTGGAACATGAGGCTGTTGATTACAGTTCCCTCCTCATACTATGAACACATGGGAGGACTTTGTGGGAACTACAACGGAGAAAGGAAGGACGATCTGCCGGACCCCAAAGGTGAGGAGGGGTGTACAAGATGAAAGAGCACAGAGAGGTGGAAATTCAATTTTTAATGTGAACAAAATGTTCAGATAAAATAATTTTATTCACATTTAAAGAAAAAAATGCTTTCTGTAAACACTTCAACTGGACGACAATGATCCGATCTGGCCCTTTCTGTGAAATATTTCACTCTAAATGAGATGGATGGTTTATGCCATTCTTCATTACGATCAATATTCATGAAAACATTTGTTCGGATTGTTTCTTGCTGGTTGGGATGAATCTATTCTATCTGCATGTGTTACTCCACTCAAGTTGAAATCACAAATCAAAGGGGATCCTTGAGCTACATTTTATTAGCATCTCCAAGCCATCAATCATGCTGTGAGAATTATAACTACTCAAAGTAGAGAGAGCATGCTCAAAGAGAATAATCAGCAAAAATCCTACCAAATCACATTCACTGCAATGTTAGGCTGTCATGTGAATCATGCTATCATGATAGCCATTAGCTTAGCCTGTTAGCATTTTAACCATTAGCTGCAAGTAGGCTATAATATAGAACAACAAAAAACAACAACAGTTAACCTCATTGGCCGCATTAATCGAAGGGTTCATGGTCACAGCGGAGGTTTGCCAGGTTTTGATTTGGGGTTATAGAGGTACTTTCACTTCAAACAGCTGTTTGTTTTATGTCTCTTCTAGGCAACAGTATCCCAATAGTTCTGGAGATGATCAAAAAGTGGAAGGTGAAGGATCCAGATCTGTTCTGTAACGACAACTGTGGCGGTCGCTGTCCTCACTGTTCCCCAAAACAACAGATTCACTTCAGAAAACCCACACTGTGTGGGCTCATGACCAAAGAGGACGGCCCTTTCTCCGCCTGCCACAAAACCGTCCAACCCTACCCATTCCTGGACAACTGTGTCTATGACGTCTGTGTCACTAAAGGTAAAACAACCAGTGAAATATAAGAGGCTACTGTTGTAATAACCTAACTGCAATATAAATACATACACAGTATTTTCATCCAAATCCCTTTTTTTTTTTTTGATAATCTGATGATTCTCTATAACCTTTGATAACATATAACATTGTTAATACCTGTAGTAAATTAATTTATTAAGATATGAATATATCCTTGTACGCCAAGTGGGCACCACCTTCAAAAGAAGGAAGTTAACTGTAATAATTAATTAATCAATCAATCAATCTCAAATCAGAATAGTGAATCCTTTGGGAGAATTTTAATCATTAAGCAAACACAGACAAAGTTCTAAATGATTACATGTGATTTTATAACAGTTTTTATACAATAATGCAGATAAATAAAGTAAATATCAAAGATGATAATTTTTATGATTTTAATAATGGTTTTATACAGCCTTTTGACATTGAAATGAAATAGTTTGAGTCTGAGTTTTAACATTGTGAGAGTAATCTCTGAACATTTAGGAAAATATTCTTCTCTTGCGATCTGTAATTTGAGAAAAAATGTGTTAAGTACTTTATATATGATAACAAGCAAATATCATTATAACAGTCTAAATATATGTTTAAAAGTCTTATGTGTCTAAGACGATACTAACCACAAGGTGGAAGTAATACTTCACCTTAGAATATTCAGTGGAAAATCCATTTAAACAGTTCTTATTTAACTCGAGTATTGTAGCTCGTATGAAAATGGGAATTGGATCAAAATGTCTGACACTGGCTGACACTCAATCGTAATTCTCTATACATACCTAACCTGCGTTTATGGGGGCGCTAAACACAGCTCTGCTGGAGCTCAGGATTTATTAGGAGGAAACACTGACTCAGATTTAAAATTCATTAAATTCCAGAGGGGCGCTGTTTCTCTCTTTGATTGTCCACTCAGTGGTCCATGGTTGTTTCAATGTGAAAATTCAATATGTTGTGATTTAAAGATGTATGTTATAATCTGAGTTTTCATGTACAACTGTAAATAATGTATTGTGTGTATTTTTCTGTCCAGGTGCCAAACAGATTCGTTGTGATAACCTGAAGAGTTATTATGACACCTGTTTGTCACAAGGAGTGAAAATGACCGCCGAGTGGAGAGAGCACTCCGGATGCAGTAAGTCACGAAGCATGTAAAAACCACTTTACATCTTGTTCACGATGTGAACAAAAACTGAGTTAACGGTCCTCAGTCACTCTTTGTTTTATCACGTATAACTAAAGAGGTCAGAACATTGAGCTGTCCAATTATTTAAGTTTTAATATAAAGAAATCTAATAAGTCTGATGTAAAATGTTGATATCTTTATGTAAAGTTTCCCAAGATTTCTTTTGGGGGGATTGAGTGCTATGTAAATACGTAATTTGTGGTTTTGTTACATTGGTAGAAATGGTACCGTTTCTCACATATTATAAGATTGAGCTTTAACAGGACTACCAATGCTCTCCTCTCTCTCTCTGCAGCCCCCTCGTGTCCAGCTGGAAGCCACTATGAGGCGTGTGGTACAGCGTGTCCTAACACTTGCTCGTCCCCAGACATTGCAACGCGCTGTAAGTCTCCCTGTGTGGAGGGATGTCAGTGCGATAAAGGAAGGGTGCTCAGCGGAGACAGGTAACTTAGCAATGATGCTACTGATGTAAATGCAAGCACATCAAGAAAACACAAACTCTGTGGACAAAAATCATTATACTCGCTGCTATTTGTAGACTTTAAGCATAAAAAATGTTGCACATTTATAAAATAAGTTCCCATAATCACACACACAAAGGCCACTGACCTGAATGGTTTAAATAGTTTTTTTTACCCATCATCCCCTTTGATTAATCAAACCATGTGTCCCTGACAGAATAAAGCACTTTGTAACCTTGGTATAACCCAATATGCCTTCAAGTGTGCTGTTAATTAGATAAAATTACACACTGTTCCTGAGTTTGTGGCGTCCCTCAGGGTTCTTTTCTTATGCCTCTTCTTTTTAGTTACCCCAGGAAAATTTTTTTTTTCTTTTCTCTGTCGAAGAAGGATGTATTTACACCTCACAAAGATGCATGCCAATTCACTTGACAAAAATGCCAGAGAAACAGAGTAGGGACGGTCCCAACAGTTGTTTTTTTCCTATAGTGTGTGGAGGTGCAACAATATGATTAAAACAGCACACTATACACAAACAGATTCCATTCACAAACAACTAGAGTCCCATCACTCAAACTGGAAATCTCTTGCGGTCAAACCAGGATTGTAGCAATTTAACAATGACAGGCAGGGCGTCCCTGCCATCTTTCCGAGCAGATCGGATCAGTCTTTACACACCTCACATCACAGGAAGGCAAGATAATCTTTAGGACATGATAATGTGATCTTTGGCTTTCTGTTTCAGATGTGTCCCTAAATCTCAGTGTGGATGTCAGCATGATGGCAAATATTACCCAGCAGGCACCAAGTTTTGGGGGGATAACACCTGCTCCACCAGGTGTAAATGTGTCAATGGTAAAACAAAGGTAGGTGTGTGTGTTTGTGTAAGAATGTCATATTGGTGCCATCATCTCTGCGGGTCTTTTAAATACCAGAATCCAAGTCTGATATCACTTTTAAACACTACACGACAGCTACTGTATGATTCACTTTATACATTTTTTTCGTTCATTCCTACTCTTCAGATGCTGTAACATGTAATTTCTCACACAGGTTGATTAGTTTCTCTTCAGACCGCCATATCTGAATTTTTGATATAAAAGTATTTTATAAACATATTTTAAACAGATGTTTGTCGATTTTATGCTGTTTCTGTTTATTTTCCTATGTAATCCATCTTTGTTTTCTTTTCTTTATGAAGTGTGATAAAGTCAGCTGCAGGAAGAATGAGCACTGTGGGCTTAAGAAGGGAGTCAGGGACTGTTACGCAACATCCTTTGCATCATGTCAGTGCACCGGAGACCCCCACTGCATAAGCCTGGACAACCGGCGCTTTGATTTCCAGGGTACATGTACCTACGTCCTCTCTCAGCTGGTCAAGGGGTCCGACAAGGGACTGGAGCCGTTCCAGTGTCTGGTCCAGAATGAGAACAGGGGACGGAACAAGGCGGTGGCCTACACTAAGTCTGTGTCTCTCACCGTGTTCGGTAACGTCACTGTCAGCTTGAGTAGCACCAACCCGAGAAAGATAATAGTAAGACGACTCTGTTTATATGTGACTTGAATATATTTTGGTTCTTTCAAGGGCAACGTGCAGCTTTATTTTTTACAATATCAAAAAATGTGTGCACAGCAAATTATTAAATATACAATTGTAGATTTACACCAAAAAGAATATAATCTGTGTTAAAAATTTAAGCTATGCGATAAAGAAAAATGAACTATGAATCTGTAGTATGGTCTTGCTTTCTAATAGAGCACGGCCAGCATTCTCAAGTTTTTTCCGCCTTTCTTGGACAGATGTTGAAGTCATTAAATAATTATTTTAACACATCACAGCATCAGGGCTTCTAATTGAGACCTGTGTTCATTTTTCAAAACGTGGTACAAGGCCAGGCTAGTAAAGGGGACTACGCCTTAAATTATGATGGGCTTTTACAAAATTTTTACAGTATACATATTATTTTGAGTCCTGGAAGAATTAAGCTAAGAAGATGTATATGTTGCCATTATCCTGTGTACTTAAAATAAATAGGGTAAATAGATGCTCTGCATTTATGTGTGCATATAAACTTGAGGCCACCCCTGCAAAAGTGAGAGCACCAGTTGGGCCACCCCAGTCCAAGAAGTCTGGACACGCCCCTTATTTAAATCACATGGGGGTTTATGTTCTCTGGCTCGGTCTTAGCTCAACTAGTAGTAATCTTTGGAAATAAGAACAAAGACACTGCGTCGATGTTTGACTGCATGTTGTGACGTCAAATGTCAGCATGGCTTTTTGTGAAAAGTGGAAAGCTCATATTTCTTTCACCTGTTGCGCCCTCTCATTAATAAAGCCAGTTTGTCATTGATGCTTCTCAGCAAGATGTCAAATACATAAATAGTCACAAAATAAAGCCTGTCTTTTTTCTGTGTCTAACCTTCCCTCTCCCCCAGGTGAACGGTCAGTCAGTCAACCTGCCGTTCTCGTTTGAAGACGGAAAACTTACCGCACACAAAGGGGGAAGGTTCGGCGTTGTGAAAACATCATTTGGTTTGACGCTCAGATTCGACTGGCGCAGTTACGTCAAGGTGACTCTCCCCAGCTCGTACAACGGGGAAACTGCCGGTGAGTCTGATGTGACTTGCTGAAAGCTTATGTTCTTGATTCAGATTGTTTTCTTGCTCCCAAACATCATCAGGAATGAGTATGAAGTATTTTCTTTATGTTTGACGCTGTTGTTTATCCTGTTTCTCTGTTTCAGGTTTGTGTGGAAACTACAACGGAAAACCTGGCGACGACTTCACCAAATCTGACGGCACCCTGGCCAAAAATCCCAATCAATTTGGTGACAGCTGGAAGGTTTGTGATGCTTTTGACTGAAGGGTGGAAAAACACAAAGAGAAAAATATTCAGCCAAATACTGTAAAAAAAATTGAAAAATACAAAACAGGGCTTAAAGGAGTCAGTAGCATTTGAATAAATAAAATGTATGGACTCAAACAACAGTAATCCTGCTCAGTCGTCACTTATGGGCCTCCATAGTTGGCTGTGGCTCAGTTGGTAGAGCCGGTTGCCTCTCAACTGAAGGGTCTGGGGTTTCATCCCCAGCTCCTGCAGCCACATGTCCGATGTTTCCCTGTGCAAGAATTGTAACCCCAAGTTGCTCCCTTTCATTCATCTATGACCTATGAATGTGTATGAATTGGGTTAGCTAATACTGATGGACACTGTACAACACAGCCTCTGCCATCAGTGTGTGAATGTGTAGGTGTGACCGGCGGTGTAAAAGTGCTTTGACTAGTCAGAAGACTAGAAAAGAAATATACAAGCAGAAGTCCATTTTGTATACATATGAATGTCTGCAGTGACCCTGTGGTCTGCCAGATGTTTCTGTTGACTCGGGAACGTTTCTGAATGGGGAGTGGGTGTGTTTCCCCCAGCCAATGAAAGCGCCCTGCTGAGTTTGGGAGCGAATACATTTTATTGGCTGGGCGGGATTCAGGCTGGACAAATACTGCAGAGCAATAGTGGCAAAGATGAGAATAGATAATCAAAGAGAGGCGAAAAAACAAGTGGATAAAGCTCGTTCCAAAACAAGGGTGAACATTGGATTGGATTTCAGTTCAACTTCTTGCTGTTGAACAGACAGGTGCCAATCACCAAGGGTTAGCTTGTACGAGTTTACTAAATTGTCTCTATACAAATGTAATATGCGCAGAAGAGAGACGCTGTAGGCAACCCAATTTAACAAACATTTCCACTGACTCTACATTTAACGATTAATGTCTTCGTTTTAGTTGGAAGGTTTTGCATGTTAGGAAGCACTTTAAACACCCCATTGTGAAGATCTGCACCTTTAAGAAAAAGCTAAAGACCCAGCTCTTTCATGAATACCTACTAACTTAATGATGATGGTCTCCATATCATTGATGATGATGATGGTTGTGACGATGGTTTTTGTTTGATAACGATGACTTATAAGATGGTTTCTATACTGATTAGAGCTCTCAAGAACTGCCCTCAATGTTGTCGCTTTGCCTCTGGTCACTTCCTGTCAGCACCTGTGTGTCCAATCAGACTCAAAGCTGATCGTTTGCTCTTACTGACATTGTTCCCTTTTTTCTAGATCCTTGCTTGTGTTGTACTTACTCTCTGATGTACGTCGCTTTGGATGAAAGCGTCTGCTAAGTGAATTGTAGAATTGTAGAAGATTAAAAACCAAAACTTAAAACCAAAAGTCGATCGAAAGAATCTAAAAGAGACAAATTTCTCGCTGCACAACGTGAATACTGAAACTTGCTTTAATCATGTATTAAAACCAGTCTGGACCATTTTGGTTTCTACACACAATACCCTGAAACCATACCCACATCACTCCCAGCTTTATTTTCAGGAGGAAGCATTATTAGTGAACATGCACATGTTAATCTCCCCTTCAAACCCAAATCTGCAAACTACACTCTGTCGTACTGTGAAGATAGTTTACTCTACTGTGTATATCTGATTCCAGGCCGGAGGAGACGTGGGCTGCACCAGTGACTGTCCTGGAGGTAAATGTCCAGAGTGCGAACCTGCACTGGTACTTCGCTACCAGGAGGGGCGCTACTGTGGCATCATCTCTGACAAGGAAGGACCATTCGGGTGCGTACTTCTCCTGTGCTTCTTATAATTTAATTAATACCTAATGTTTTTGTTTTTAGAAGAAAAATAACCATAGTTGTGTAAAAGAAATGAAATATTATCACTTTAGTGATTTTGGACATGTTGTGGTTCTCTACCCGTTTAGTCTGATTCTAAAGTTACTCGGTAACACTTTATAATAACCATCATCTATAAAGGGTAAATAAGGGTAAGTACATAAGTTTATTAACCATTAGTTAGTAGTTATTTACTGTTGAAACAATGAGTAAACCATAAACCATTTCATAAACCATCTCTTAAAGGTTTATAAATCATTTGGTCATCATTAAGAAACACTTTATAAAGTGTATGAAATGTTATAATGTGTTCATCAATAAACTGTTAACATAACATAAATTATAGTATTACAAATCATTAGCAAACCATATTAACTATAATTTCATTGTTTGTTAACAGTGAATAACTATTAACTAATGGTTAATTAACTATCTATTTACCCTTGTTTAGCCTTTATAGATGATGGTTATTATAAAGTGTTAGTGTGTTATAAAGCAGTTACTCTTGTATAATGGTATAAGGTCAACAACAGGGTCAGATTTAGCTTTAGAAACATCAACCGGATCAGATCACATTGTTATTTTTTCCAGGGCGATGGATTCCCATGGCCTCGCATATTTAACATTAAAGCCAGTAACCAATCAGCATAGGAGATGTTCTTCACGCCTGACAAACAACAAATGAAAGATCGGTGAATGAACTCTATATTTCGTCAACTACAGTTTGTCATCTCACCTTCGACTCTTTGTTTCTCTGCAGTCAGTGTCACAGCAAACTGGACCACAAGACCTTCCTCAACGACTGTGTCTTTGATATGTGTGCATACAAGGGCCACGCCTCCGCTCTGTGCAGCAGCCTATCAGCTTTCAGCACGTCTTGTCAGGCGGCGGGAGCTAAAATTGAGAGTTGGAGGACCAAAAAGTTCTGTCGTAAGAAATACACACACACACACACACACACACACACACACACACACATCTATTTCAGTCATCAGACCAAAAATGGCATTTAAAGGCTTTATATGTGATTTTTTTTGATCCAGCAGATGTCACCCTTGAGCACCAGCATGAAACCAAAACAACTTGCGCTGCATTGTTGTGTTAGCATGCTAATGCTAGCGATCTTTATTATGCTCGTATCTTCACACTGCATGTAAATTTACCTGAAATGAGCGTGATCTAGAAACACAGTTAAGCAGTGAGTACAGTATGTTATTCTCCTTTTCTCTAGTCCCTCAATTAAACAACTTTTATACGCGAGGGGAGGAGTCAGCCGGCCGTCCGGGCGATGTAAACAAAGTGAAGATAAGGCTCTGAAAAAACTCGGAAAGCATCACAGACAGACATTGTTATTTTCAGAATATATACTTGATTTCTATTATATTTAAGTGTGAAAAATCACATATAAAGCTTTTAATAAGAACTTAAATTGAAAAAGCAAAATGATGTCTGGACATTTAGAGATTTGTCAAAAGTGAACAGCGTCCATTTTGTCTGGTTGTAATCTTTGGATCTTTGGAGAACTCTGATATCTATTTTGATGCATATTTCCAACTTGTCACTTTTCATTTGTTTTACTTTTTCCCACTCAGTATTTAATTTGAAGGTGTCGCTGACTGTGTTTGTCTCCTTGCAGCTCTGCCATGTGGTGCAAACAGTCACTATGAGGTGTGTGCCTCCCCCTGCCAGCCCACCTGCAGCGGCCTCAGCATACCTGATGACTGTGACGAAGACGACCCCTGCACAGAGGACTGTGTGTGTGACGACGGCTATATACTGAGCAACGACAAGTGTGTTCCTGTGGCCGAGTGCGGATGTCAAGACGGAGGGCAGTACTATCAGGATGGACAGGTAACACACCTGGGCAGAACACACACACCTCCCCTTTCATACCTGCAGATATATAACACACACACCTCCTCTGTGACACACGTGCAGATTTATAACACACACCTCCTCTGTGACACACCTCCTGATATATAACACACACACCTCCTCTCTAACACACCTGCACAGAACACACACACCTCCTCTGTGACACACCTGCAGATTTATAACATACACACCTCCTCTGTGACACACCTGCACACACATCAATCACTCTGCTCCCTGTACATCTTCCCTCGCTCACCTGTCTCTCTGTTCCCAGGTGTTCTACCGCGGACAGTCCTGTAACACTCAGTGTGTGTGTTCAGAAGGACAGATAAAGTGTGACGCCACCTTCCACTGTTCACAACACGAGAAGTGCGTTCTGAAAGACGGCGCCGTCTCCTGTCAACCCAAAAGTATTGGTTCCTGTTCGGTCAGCGGAGTCAGAAACATCCGCTCCTTCGATGGAAAGGTAGAGTACATTTTGTTCTACATGAGGTCAAAGCTGTCTGAATTGAAATAATAAATGTAAGCTGTGAGACGCTGACAGTAGACGTTATGACATACATCTGTCCCCTCCTGCAGGAGTATCCTCTGTTGGGAGACTGTCTCTTCACGCTGTCAGCGGTGCAGAAGAACGATGGGGGGAAGACGCCCTTCTCCGTGTTGGTGCAGCAGAAAACAGATAAAGACGGCTCTGTCACTCGCCGCGTTGAGGTTCAGGTGTATGACTCTGAAATCTCCATGGAGACAGGGGTCAATTGGGAAGTTAAGGTATGACATTTTGTATTTATTATGTATTTAAAGGCTTCATATGTGATTTTTCACACTTAAATATAATAGAAATCAAGTACTGTATATCCTCTGAAAATAACTCTGTGAGTCATGACTGTCTACAATGGGTGTAACACCCGAGTCCCGATGTCTGTAATTTTTTCCGAGTTTTCTGAGTCCTATCTTCAGTTTGTTTACATCGCCAAGATGGCCGGCCGACTCCTGCCCTCGCGTATAAAAGTTGTTTAATTGAGGGACTAGAGAAAAGAAGAATAACATACTGTACTCACTGCTTAACTGTGTTTCTAGATCACGCTCATTTCGGGTAAATTTACATGCAGTGTGAAGATATGAGCATAATAATGATCGCTAGCGTTAGCATGCTAACACAACAATGCACCGCGAGTTGTTTTGGTTTCATGCTGGTGCTCAAGGGCGACATCTGCTGGATCAAAAAATCGCATATAAAGGTTCAGTAGTGAAATGTTGGCAAAATATTTGTGCAATCTAGACGTTCCACCTCTTCTCCGAAGGACTTCCTCAGTTTTAAACTATCTGGTGGATAAAGCTAGAAATGTAAGCCTCTGTGGATCATAGGCAGGCTGATGATCAAGGATAACTCACAGAGAGTCATTAGCTGAGTCATTGGTCCTTGGGGTCACGTTCCAAGGTGGGACTGGGGCTTCACTTGTTTTAAGAGACAATTCAAAACAGCTCTGTTGGTTGGTGAAAGATGGTGCCTCAGACCACCACCCCCCTGGTACCTTCAGTCAGTTAGTTTAGAACTGAAAAAGCAGAAGAGAAGGGAAAGGTCTTCAAGGTCTTCAACCTGTCCAGCTGCCTTTGGATCAAGCTTCAAATTTACCAAATACGCCTGTTTGTGGCCGCATGAGTAAGTCGACCCCCAAAGCATTATCTAGGTGTGCTAATCCTACTTTGAGAAATCCTTTAGTATGATTTCAGTCGGACAAATGGCTTAATTTGTGTTTTGAAAGTCCAATTTTAGTCGACCAACACAATCAATTAACTTTTTTAACATCATGTAATTGACTGAGACAGGCCTCTGTAAAATGCAGTCCAGTCTGAGAAGGACCAAGACCAACCTTTAGTTCTACAACACAACATGGACAAACTTCAATGATCTGCCGTATTCCTTAGGATGGGAGGTTGAATATTTGAACAGCTCACCTGAAAATGGTTTTGTTTTTGTGTCTCAGGTCGACGACATCAAAGTCACCCTTCCCGTGTCACTGGCTAAGGAAAGGGTTCAAATACAACAAAACGGTGTCAACATCATTGTCGAAACTGACTTTGGTCTAAAGGTGACCTATGACACTCAGTCGGGTGTGGTCGTGCATCTCCCGTCGACCTATCACAGCGCAACCAGTGGCCTCTGCGGGAACTACAACGGCGACGTGTCTGACGACCTGGTGGGGGAGATCGGAAATCCGGAGGACACAGCTGCGGCCTCAGTTGTTGAGGAGGACGAAGACGTCAAGTGTGACACAAGCTGTCAGGAAGCTTCCTGTCCTAAGACTGATAAAGAGAAGGACCCTGACGCTGAGAAAAACTGTGACATCATCAAATCAGCACAGGGCCCATTTGAAGGATGCCACTCTACAGTTAAACCTACTCCGTACTATGATGCCTGCGTCAGGTAAGGAAGTACTCCTAACTAGACTGTGTAAACAATGATCAAACATATTAAAGGTGACATATCCTCCTCTTTCTTCAACCAATAAGTCTCAGAGCTCCTCAAAACATGTGTGTGAAGTTTCTTGTTCTAAATCCACTCTGATGCTGTATTTGATCATGTCTATAAACCCCTCTATTTCAGCCCTGCTCAGAACAGGCTGTTTCTGTGTCTGTACCTTTAAATATGTAAATGAGCTGTGACTGACCACACCCCCTCTCTGGAAGGGCTTGGGTGGCTAGGGGTGTCTTGCTCCATGCCGTATTGTTTACGGTGAGAAGGCAGACTCAGAGGGCAGGACAAACACCTAACTGTGGGAGTGTCACCCACCTGGGGGAGGGGCTACTGCCCTTTGTGATGTCATGAAGGGAAAATCTCCAAACTGCCTGTTTGAGCACACATTTTCTGAAAAGTGGAGCAGGTAAAAGACAGAGAGGATGGACTTTTCTCATCATTGGTGGCTTTGTAAACAGACTAGAGACACATTTTAGAGTTAGAAAAAGTGTATTTTCCATAATATGTGACCTTTAAAATAATAACTGTGTAATTACACTCACAGAAGAAGTTTGGGCTGTGACTTCTTGAATGACTGGCTAATGCAAAAAACCAATCCAATTTTTTAATGAAACAATCCCACCAACACCAAAAACACGGCCCAGAGGTTTAAATTCAGTGACTTAATTAGCTGAATTGACACCTAGCAGAGGCCACGCCCCTTATTGTGCATAACTGTAAGCTTTAATATAATTTATTCAGGTTAGTTATATAAAAACTCAGCCCGGACAGTTTTCATTTATAAAGGAATTAGCTAAAGAGACCAAATCTGTTATTTTGAACCAGGATGTAAACACCCTCTATGGGGATTGACTCATTTTTGAAGACAGCCTCAAGTGGACACTGGAGGAACTGCAGTTCTTGGGACTTCTGTTTTCTGCGTCATTTTTCAACACCAGAGGGCGTCACTTGGTCCCTGTCTGGAAAAATTAGATCCAAGTTAAACCAGATCGATGATTTATTTTGAGTTCCGATGTTGAGATTCTGTTGTGTGTTCATCTTTTTCAGGGAGATGACGTCACGCAAAGGGGACAACGTCCTCCTGTGCAGTCACATCCAGAGTTACGTCACCGCCTGTCAGCTCGCCGGTGCAAAGATAAAGGAGTGGAGGAGTGACAAGTTCTGTCGTAAGTCTGATTTCTTTTCTGCTGCTGAATGTGGATGAACTCATCTGGATTTGATTTATTAGGACTGCACAGTTAATCTAAATATTACAACAAAAACTGCAACACATCACAGAAAGTACAGATGTTGGATGTATGAAAAGTGCATGATTAAAAACAACAGAACAATGAAGAACTTTAGAGCTGCAGAGATACCCTGACCTTAAAATGTTTTTTTCTAGAAGCAACCATAAAAAGTAATTAAGGTAGTTAGCTGGTGGCACAGTGGTTAGTGCGCCACCAGTCTTCCAATCAGGCGGCCCAGGTTCAAATCCAACCTGTCGTTCCTTTCACATGTCATTCCCTGTTGTCTCTCTCCCCAATTTTTGACTCCATCCACTACCCTATCTCTCTATTAAAGGCACAAAAAGCCCCAAAATAAATCTAAAAAAAAATAAGCTTCTTAGATACTTCATTGTAAAAACTCTCAATTTTTTAATCATCCATCGTATTGAAAAGTACAGAAGCTTTAAAAATGTAATAGCTTCAGTCATGTTTTTAACCAAAAGCCACTGCAGGAGAAGGAGCATTGTCTTAAATTGCACAAATATGTTGGCAACACTTCAGTACTGAAATAATCTCAATGCATCTGTGCAATTTAGACAGTTTGCTGCAACTTCTGGTAATGAAAAACAAGGAATTACCCTGCATTGAGTGATTGGATTTTCTATTTTTGATGTTTTGGTATCGAACCAGGTATAACTCCAGAATCACTCCTGATATTTCCAGGAAGAGCTGCATGTGTGAACGCAAACAGACACATTTTTCTCCCGGAGTTTCTCCCGGGGACAAGAACTACAAAATAAAACAGGAAACAGTAAAGACACACAGAGATCTTAAGTATGTAATAGCAAAAATACACACAGGAGAAAAAAAACATGAAGATAAGAAATGACAAAATAAAACAGGAAACACTGAAGACTAAACTTGGAATAAATAAAGCAACAACAGGTCAAACTTCTTCAGTTCTGAGTCTCTGTGTCTGGTTTTGTCCCTGCAGCATTGAAGTGTCCCGCTGGTAGTCACTATGAGTTGTGTGCCTCCTCCTGGCCCTCCACCTGCTCCTCCCTGCAGAGCTCAGCTCCCGCCTCAGCTTGTCAAGAGGGTTGCCAGTGTGACGACGGCCTCATGTCCGACGGAGCCAACTGTGTGTCTGTGGAGAAGTGTGGCTGTGTGGTGGATGGACAGTATTATAAAGTAAGAACCATCATCTTAGTGGATTTTCTTTATCTGTTGAACTTAAAGATGGCCGTGTTAAAGGAGGTCAATCAAGTACCAAACTACTGACATGCCTGATCCAGGAATGACCTGGCTTGCGTTGCCACTGACGCATTTCAACAAACGATTGGCCCCTATGACCAGATTGCAGTTAAAACACTTTCCATATTAATCCAAAGGCACAACGTGGTCAATAAGAGTCCAAAAAAATGCCAAACAAACAAACCTTACAGTGACAGACATCCTCGCTCTCAAGCAGTCAAAAACCTTTTGACAGAGTGCAGAATTTTGCTGGCAATTTTGGTAATTTAAGAAAAAGGATTAACACATATTGGGTGCATTGGACATCTAATGTTGTTGCCATGGTAATGAAACAGGTATTGATGGTTTGACTTTTGAATCAAAGTTTAAAACTCTGTCACTGTGACAACCCTAGTCTGCAAAACATTGGGAATAAATTTGTGTTGTGACCTCGTGCTAAGACAATATTTCTATAAGCACTTTCAGAGGACGAGATTTGATCGTGCACATTTTCTACAAAGAATAATTACAGCTGGTCTCATTACTGAAGGCTGAAGCCATCTACTCGAGTGACTTTTGTACCTGTTTGACCCCGAAAAACTGCAATAAAAAGTTCCCACATTTAACGAACATTATGACCCTTTAAGGCACAAAAACCAAACCAAATGCTTTGTTTGCATAACCTAGCGTATGTCTCAACGTATCAGTGGCCATTGATTGTTTCTTTTCTAATGCTTGTGGGACTCTTTTCAGTCGGGCTCATCAGTAAGAGCAGGCGACTGTTCAGAGATCTGTTCCTGTGAGGCCGGAGAGTTCAGCTGTAAAGCCTCAAGCTGCCAGCAGGGGGAGGATTGTCGCAACAAGGACGGAGTCACTGGCTGCTTCCCGAAAGGTCAAATGCTCACTGAGTGATTTTTCTCCTTTCTGCTCTTCTCTAAAGTGTTTCCATCTCTACCTGTATGTCTCTTTGTTTCCATCCTGATTTAGGAGTCATACTGTATCTATTTGTGGAAACTTTTAGAACCAAATTCCTGCATAATGTGTGTGTGTGTGTGTGTGTGTGTGTGTGTGTTTCAGACCCCTGTGCAAAGACCAATTGCAGGGTGAAGGAGCGCTGCGAGGTGAAAGAGGGTCAGGGAGTGTGTGTGCCGGAGTCTCGCGCCATCTGCTGGGGATCTGGGGACCCTCACTACAGGACGTTCGACGCCAAGAGTTACTCATTCCAAGGAACCTGCAGCTACGTCCTCGTCAACACCACAGGTGTGATTTTAACTGACAGTGAAAATGTCAATACTTTTTCGTTGCACATATTTTAAATGTTAAAATCCTTGTTATTTTACAAAAAACATTAGCAACATTTCTGTAATCCCCTTTTGTACGATTATTAAAAAGAACAGAGACACAGGGTTGGGGCGGCAGTAGCTCAGTCTGTAGGGACTTGGGTTGGGAACCGGAGGGTCGCCGGCTCAAGTCCCGGTGCGGACCAAGCATGGAAGTTGGCTTGGAGAGGTGCCAGATCACCTCCTGAGCACTGCCGAGGTGCAGCAAGGCACCAAACCCCCTCCCCATCACCAGCTCAGGAACACCCACTGTGGGCTGCTCCGTCACTTTGACATCTCTCCCTTAATGCATGTCCATAGGATCCTGTTTGTGTGCATGTGTGTATATACTTCAGCCTATGTGTGTGTGAGTGTAAATACTGAAGTTTCCCCTTCAATCAATAAAAGTAAATCTTAAAAAAAATCAATGTTTGCGAACATAAATTATTCTGATCCCTCAGGAGCTGATTCATCCCTGCCAGCGGTAACGGTGACCGTGAAGAACGAGCTGCGAGGGAACTCTGAGGGCTCCTTTGTGCAGTCATTCACTGTGGAGATGTTGGGCCACAGTATTTACATCCCCAGTGGTCCAGAAGATATCGTAGTGGTGGGTTATACTAGAGAGTATGTCAGCAAATACAAATATTAAGGCTACCATTTTGTGCTAATGTAACCCTCAGGGGGGTCATCTTAAATGTTGTAATATAGTGAAGTCAGTATACTGTTGACACATTGTTAGCAACGATACTGTAAGTAAAGAATTTAAACCGTTTCTACGACATCGTCACTTTCCACATCCGGCTAGATAACATAGCTAAATTACCATCATCAAGGGCAATAGGAAATTAGTCTGACAAAAAGTAAGCATGCTAGCTTATCTCTCTTTCTAACCAGCGAGGAAAATACAATTAGCCTTAAATTAATTCAAACAAGAGCATGGTAGCCTATATTAGCTAGTTTATACTAGCTTACTTGTTTAAACTGGTTCATAAGTTAGCTAGTTAAAGGCTTTAAATGTTATTTTTGACACTTAAAAATGTGATTTTTCACACTTAAATATAATAGAAATCAAGTATTTCCTCTGAAAATAGGATAAAATAAGTGAGTCATGACTGTCTGCAATGGGTGTAACACCTGAGTCCCACTGTCTGTGATGCTTTCCGAGTTTTTTTGAGTCATATCTTCAGTTGGTTTACATCGCCGGAACGGCGTATAAAAGTTGTTTAATTGAGGGACTAGTGAAAAGAAGAATAACATACTGTACTCACTGCTTAACTGTGTTTCTAGATCACGCTTATTTCAGGTAAATTTACATGCAGTGTGAAGATACCAGCATAATAAAGATCACTAGCATTAGCATGCTAACACAACAGTGCAGCGCAAGTTGTTTTGGTTTCATGCTGGTGCTCAAGGGCGACATCTGCTGGATCAAAAAATCGCACATAAAGCCTTTAATAATAGAAAAAAAAATTAGGTGAGAAATTATTTCTAAGCGGTCAGTATGTTAGCTAGTTTGTTTCTTAGCTAACATAGTTTATCTTACATGTTTTTAGCCAAGATTTATTTTTTTATTTTTTTATTGA